TCAGCTATCGGGTGACATGAACACACCTGTTCACCACTCTGTCAGCTTAATCTGGTGGTTTTGTTGACTCTTCGGTTGTTTGTGTGTCTTCTCAGAGAAACTTTCTGATACTTTGCATAAATCTGTGGATCAGACGGACGAGAGGGAGGAAATCTGTCTGCACTTCACCAGAAACAGCTGCAAGTTCCAGAGTGAGTTTATCATCGTTACCTGACGGTCTTCCTCTCATCTGATTCACTGAGGTCTGTTCTGCTCAGTTTCATTTAAACTCCACTAGGTGGCAGTGAAGTGTCAGTTTACTTTCTTCATATCTCAGTGTCTCAGTCTGATGTGAAGAGCGACATCAAGTTTAAATAAAACACAAAATAAGTCTGATACAGCTGAAGAGCACTTGGTACAAAATGGTTAAATATGTTGATTTTTTTCTGTGTTTTCTTTTTACTCTAAACATAAACAGCAAAAAGTATTTTTATTTGTATACTTTCATACAATAAGAAAAATACTTACTTAATTATATATTGATTTGTTTTCTTTCTAAATAAACTTGAAATTATTATCATTTCTTCTAAATTATTATTTTCATCTAAATTGATTATTATTTCTAGATAAATAGATGTTTCTCCTAAATAGATTAAAATAAAAACGCTCTCTACAATATCCATTCAGGATGCTGGCTCCTAAATTGACTCTTTTTTTGTGAAAATAAATCTATCACACATGGAGTTCAGTGTTTTCATATCCACATTTTATTTTGTACTTACTAATGTGTTCGTTTTAATTCAATAAAGATGTAGGAAAGAACATTTATTGTTTATTGGTCTTTTTAAAACCCAAAGTCTTGTCTGGTGCAGTTTTCACATTTACAGGTTTGGTTTTGTTGGAACTGTAGTTTCTGGTTTCTCTTTGTGTAGACGAGTGTCGCCTCGTTCACTTCCACCTTCCCTACAAGTGGGAGGTGTTCGATGGGCTCACCTGGACAGACCTGCAGCACATGGAGGACATAGAGCGAGATTTCTGTGACCCGTCCAAGACTCAGAGGTCAGAGGTCATATCTCATCTTAGTTCAGGTTTTCTGATAATCTGCTGTTGATGAGTTGCTGATTGAAACTATTCTTTCCTCTGTTTTCAGTTGCGGCAATCGGCCCGTCAACTTCCTGACGATGACTCAAGGGTGGCAGCATGTCCGCCGTCTCTCCACGGTTTCCTCTGTAACAAAGCCACCTCACTACATCCTGACAACTGTGTGGCTGTGGTACTACAAAGGGGACCAGGGGAACTGGGTGGAGTATGGACAGCCGGTGAGTTGGACTGCTGGGGAAAGTGTGAGGGTAAAGATTAAAGGGTTTAGAAGTTCAGGAGGGGTTCTAGCTGCTGTTCTGGTCAAGACTTGCTGAAGACGTCTGGAGACTTGTTGCAGCCCTGGAGAGTAGTATCAAGAGGTCCGGGGACTAGCTGTAGAGAACCGGGGACTAGCTGTAGAGGTCCGGGGACTAGCTGTAGAGGTCTGAGGACTAGTTGCAAAGGTGAATTCAAGCCTAAAAGCTATAAATCTTTTGACCTGTAAATCATCAAATCAATGCATACTGGGATTATAATATTAGCATATTGATGAGCTAACTGCTCTCTAACTCTCAGGATGAAAAGCAGCGCACCACATCAGTGACATCACAGACTCTGGAAGAAGCTTTTCTGTCTGGCAGAACAGCTGAAGTCAAGCTGGTGAAAGGCCAACGACAGTACGTCATCAGCTTCCAAGGTAAGTCTTATCCAGTGTTATTCTAGTCGAGACGAGTTAGTCCAAAGACAAGTCCCTAGGCGAGACGAGTTAGT